TAGATAGATAGATAGATAGATAGATAGATAGATAGAGAGAGAGAGAGAGAGAGAGAGAGAGAGAGAGAGAGAGAGAGAGAGAGAGAGAGAGAGCTCTGAGGGCGGGGGTCACCGGTGAACATAACTCTCTACTCTTTGTCGGTGACGATGATAATGTTATTCGAATCGTTGAAGATTCATTGCGCGCTTATGCCAATTGATCGGGAGACCCGTTTTGTACTCTAATAAGGTTGTTTTTAGTTCCATACTATGGTTATCATTGCAGATTCCATTGTGCTCTGGCTTTGGGCGATTGATATGGACCGAGCTTTGACGTGCAGGCTCTGTAATCGGTTAGGTTACATGAACTGTATTCACTTGATCGATAAAATTGAGTTTTTCTAATGGATTTCTACGCGGTGTTTTCGCAATGCAACGACTATGATGTTGTTTCGTTTTTGTCATTTGAGATGCGTATGGAAATGATTTCGGAGAACGAGAATCATGATGTGGAAACGCTAAAGACGGAAAAAGAAAGAAAGAAAAAAAAGACTGTGAAAGAAAGGTAAGATAGCAACAGAAAATATCAAAAATCGGTCCCTCGTCGACATATTCTCTGGGCCTTGGTCAGGATTCTCTCTGGCCAGCCGTTCTCTATTTTTCATAGAATTTACGGTGGTTGTTTACATCAAATTTTGCCCAATCATGCAATTGTTTCTTTCAGCCGTGCTACCTTAATTCAAATTTCGTCACATTGGAGCACCCATCGGCGTCGCCTTTCGGGTTTTCCCTGCCTCGACGCATTCAAATTTTTCAGTGTATTGTCTAATGGAATAAGAACCGGATGTATGAATGCTCGTGCAGACGGGGAGCTTTGATGGGCCAAATAATTGATAACATTCAAGGTTGGAACCAAAAAGCACCAACGCGGAGGGCCAGACGGGCCGTCAATGTATAAAGAGGCCCTTGTGTTGTATTTTCCTCTCTGTGATGCCACACGACATTCAAACTGAAAATGCATAGATGAGTGTAGACGACGGCGAAGGTTCGAGAGAGAGGCAGAAAAACATAGAGATAGTTGGAGTTCGGATGCATCCGAGTTAGCGGGCAGAACATCACACCACACAAGACACAAAATGACGAAAGTGAGAAAGCCAATCGCGAAACAGGCGCCTCAACAACGGGGACGTTGGCGAGAATTGAAAGCCAATGAGAAATAACCATATTGTCGACGACAAACACGCCGGGGACATGACAATTTCACCCAAAGATATCCTGGCAGTGACAGTTCGTTCTGCTCTGAACCAAATCGAGAACACCCACCAGTCTCTCTCGGAAAAAATGAAAAGAAACAAATTTCGTCCGGAGAAGAATGAAATGTTCTTCTAAGTCAACCGTTCTACACTACATGATCAACAAAAAGATAGACGCTTACCTACCAACATCGCAAATCGCCAAAGCTAGTCTAGCTCTTATAGAGGAGATGTGTCAATGGGAGAAACCAAAAGGTGGACGTAAACCTCTCGCCAAACAAGAAGCGAACATCAACATGAACACCCCACAACTAGCCCCGTAGTGCTGCCGAGGGACACCTTTCACGCTGACCTCGCGAGTGAAGTGGTCGAAAGTGCGACTATCACCGGCGGCACCGGCCACCGTGTTCAAAAATTTAACAGATTTATGTAAAAGTGCGGAGTAGAAGTCATATTTGGATGACGAACACGAGAAAGAATCATAGATTTCCAAAACACATCTAGAGAAGTCAATGCCCAAAAGGCTCCAGTGTTCGCCGTCCTTGTGCACTGGTATCAAGACGAGGTCATGAGACAGGAGGTCCACATCTTTAGCCCATCTGCTAACAGCTGCCGGACCTCGCAGAAGCAGTGTAGAGGCGAAGAAAGAGTTAAAGGTGTACGTCTTCTTGGTAGCAGCAGTCCGGCCGCAGTCGTCCAGTAGCATCGCCATGTAGAAATTGACCACCTCATCGTTGAGCTCCCCGGATCCATCCACGAGTGCGACGATGTCCTTCACGGATACCTGTAAAATGTGCGACGGCAAACGCTCGACGATGATAGTGAGCGGCAACTGGGAGTAGATAAGGTCTTCAAGGATTGCTCTTCCATCTCGAGAAAACCCTGTTCAACAAACACCCGCAACACACAGTAAGCACAAAGGATGGGGCACTATGAGAAAATGCCGTCCTAGCGGCCATGGTCCGACGAACCCTTACTCTGTGGTCCGAAAAGTTCACGCATAACATCACCCCTACTTGTGGACCTTCCACACACAATTGATTCTAAACTAACACTGTCCTTCTCTAAATCCCTGCAAGCCTCGAGAAGCAATTCCTTGCAGTCTTTTTCGGCAACACCCGCTGCCTCTGCAATGAGTCTAGCGCGAGGGCCCAATACGCGCACGACAACCCTTCTGGGAGGGCCCCGAGGTTTAGTCTTCCCAGGAGATGAATCGGTGACATTGCGACGACCAGTGCCTCCCGCAACCAGGACTGACAACCTGGCGAGGGCAGGCGGCTCCTGCGACATGTGTGTTTGTCCTCGAGCTCGTCGACCTGTACAAGAAATAACCACCCAGACAGTTCAGCAGGAGATYAACAACACAAYTTCGCAAGAGCAACCAAGCAAACAACACCTCACGAAGCACATCGCCACAATCCAGTTGGCGTCCGCCTGCACACCTCCCCGAAATCGACGAAGCAAACAACACTTCATGAACGGGTTGACGAGCGGGAAGCAAGCAGAGGAAGACAGTGCTTACCAGGCTCAGCTTCCACGTCACCAGAGCCCACCGATGGCAGTCCCAGCGCGATTGGCACCACCGTGTGCGTCGACGCGGCGACATTGTGCTCCAAACTCACAGGAAAACTTGACATGTTTGAGATGTCGGCGTCGATGACCGGAGACGGCATGAATTCATCCCCATCCCGATGGCGGAAATCCTCCACGTCCGCGACAGGCAATTTTAGTCTGTCCGTCTCCGGAAAAAGAGCGTTGACGTCCACAATATCGACAGGTTGGGTTTCCTCCATCGCCACTGTGTCGTACTGTGTTGTGATCAAGGTCCCATGGATGTCCAACAACACCTCCCCCCCCCTTAACTTCTTGTCCTCGTGCGCTGTGTCTTTATCGTCGTCACTCAAATAGAGAAATCTATCTCCAACAGCGTCAGAGGACTTCTTCAGAACGCCTCTCCCATCGCCTCATCGTGAAGGCCGGAGTACAAGGGGTCGTCGTATGCCGGTTGAACTGGTTGCTCCATCCCGACGTCGCCGAGTGTCAGATCAATCCGGTCGTCGGCGGAATCGTCCTTGTCCAAAGTCGTCAGAAGTCGACAACCGTCAAGTCCTTCGACCGTGTGTCTCGGATGAATCCGAATCACGGTCGTCTCCAAACTTGTATCAGGGAGGGACATGTTCACAGGACCCTGGTCCGGATTCATCCGAGCCCCCGCAGTTTCCAACGGCAACGACGTGTCCGCTTTCAACGGAGAGTCGCTTGAGACTGCTAACTCAGCGCGTACCGTCACCAGGCATTCGGCTCCGAGTATGCAGGGCTCGACATTGAAACTGGTCGCTAACTCACCCTCAGTCGGACAGTCTGCCTGCATCTCCTTGTGGACTTCCATGCACAGCATTACGRCGTCCTGACACCGGTCGTCTGTCATGGCAGACACGTCCTCCTGATTCAGATGAATCCGAATTTCRCCGCCAGGGTTTTCGRAAACCTGGACCACCCSTTCGAGTTCCRCARACCGCTGTGCTCTCTCAACGGTACTGGCTTCCCGGTTCGGATTAATCCGAACTTCCTTTTAAGGGGAAACCGAACATTGTTGGAGCTTGTCGCTGCCGGATCCGTGGTATGTTGTCGTCTCGCTTCCCGGAAGGCACTGAGTTCCGAACGACGATGTCGTCTCCGAGGTTCGGATAGATCCGAGACAATCCGCCAACCGTTTTTGGAGCTGAGCAAAGCAAGTTTCATTCTTTGCTACAACTGCCCCGCCAACAACATCGGTATACTGTGTTCCGCTGGTGGAGCTAATCACAGGGTCCTGCTCGCCAGGCCACGTAATCCACCCAGACCTGAAGTCGTTCCCCGTCTCCATTGAGGTGCTGCCTGTCACCGCCAGAACCCCACCATCCTCGTCCCGGTCGACATCGGACCCCTACCCGTCTCCTCTGTGATGCTTTGTCTTCTCTCCGCTGCGAGGCTTTCTCTTCTCCCGGCTGCCCTTTTCCCCCTCTCCGCCGCCTGCGTGCCCCGAAGACCGTTCTTTCGTTGAACGCTGTTCACTTCCACCTCCGGTACCTCGTTGTCCGCCGCCTTCACCATCCCCGTCGCCGTCCTTTCCACGAGACTTGCGCTTCACAACTCCTGCCGGCGGGGTGACCTCAGGCAACTCCCAACTCACTTGCTTAATTGACGGGCTTGACGGAAGGGCGTAGAACGCGGAGGACACTTTCAGCCATTTATTTGACTGCAAAAACTCGAACAGCGTGTCCCCGTATTCGCACAGAGCAGGGTCGTTCTTACTTCGTTGATTGACCTCACTTAATCTCTCCAATACCGCATCGTAGGCGCGAGATTTGAATATCTCGAGGTCCCAAGGATCGTCATATATCCACCCTCCACTTACGTCCACAGCCACTGCCCATTCGCTGTCAAGAAGGACTGGCTGGAAATGGTCTGGGTGCCACACGATATCATGGCCCCAACCTTCGGCTGTGGAGAAGGTGTGTTTGTCGCCCATGTGGAAGGGAGTCGCAGGAGCCTTGAGATGCGGATGGTCCCGAGGAACTGGATGGCCGGGTCGAAGACGTTCGGGCTGCGGTGTGGGGCGAATAGGCTCCCCCGGCGAACTCCTAAGATGGGACAACCCACCCCTCTTGACAGGCGCTGAGGAGGATACGGGCGTGGGACCGCCCAAGGTAGGTGTAGCGAGAGGTGTCCCCGGTTTGCATACTGATGGCGACTCAGAAACTTGGGCGTTGAAGATGGCCAATTGCCCGTCCAAATCGAAGAGGTCGTCCTCAACGCTCTCCTCCTGCTCAGTCTCGATATTGAAGTCGTCCTCCTCACCGAACGCCAGCTTGTGAAGTCGGCCGAATCGACAGCATCCTCGTTAAAAAAAACATATTCGAGCCTCTTAATGAAGCTCACAGCGCCGGCCCGACTCGCTCCGTTGTAGCCCTGGAGGACCGCAATGGTGACTTCCTTCCGCACCACGTACTGCGGGTCAAATCTCAAGCTTGGTTGTTCGCTGTAAAGGAAGGAGTAGACCTGACGTCTTTTCTTTGAAGTCAACTTGAAGAACATGTGCTTGTTCGGGTCATAAACGGGCTCGACCACGACATGGTGGAAATCGCATGGGTAAGCCTTGAACGACACTTCATGGGTGACATACTGCACGGTGTATTCGAGCTGCGTTGTGTCCTCATCCACGGCCAAGACGTGCCTTCCCTGCTGAAGCAGACTCCACACCACGTGCGCGTGCGGCTTGCCCAAGAACATCACGGCATCCGCCACACCAGAGAAGAAAAGAAGCTGATTGCACAACTGATTCGGATTCCGTTCGCCATCCTTGTACAGAGCCCCCCTCTGGGTGAGGTTTCCGATGTCCGCGAAAGTCAAGGACTTGAAAGACTTCTCCTCCACATCCGTGGGTGTCACTTTCTGTTTCCTCCGGAGAGCGGCGGCGTCGTCTTCAGCAACAGCTCCCTCGTACACCGGGTGAGTCAGTAGCCGAGGATCCTCGCCTTTGAAAAGGATATGCATCACATCCGGCTCCTCCCAGACGCTGTTTCTGAACTGATGCGTCTTCTTCGATGCCGTCTTCCGAACCCACTTCCCCGTGTAGCATCGTGTAGCCCCAAGCGCAGACAAAAATGTCATGAAGGAGAGGTTCCACAGGCAGAGGACGAATACCACCAATGTCCAGTAGTCCCGACAAACAAAGCCCAGCAACTCACTCACAGACGCGAATGCCCCAGAGTCCCATTGCGCACGGTCCACATCACCGCACAAGTCGAGCACGCAAGTGTGGGAGCGTAGCTGATGCCCTAGTTTTCCCAGCGCCTCCCTATGATCTATGGCACTCAATGGGTCGACGTTAAACTGGGCCAGTGTCGTCAAGGCGGTTGTCCTTGTCCACATAATGTTGATGCATTCATCAACGCCCCGAGGGCTTTTTTTGCTTTTGGCGCGATCTCCAATGATCACCGAAAGGACGACACGCTTCCACTCCGCCGGGAAATGCTGGTCGTTGACGAGGGCCGCCATTCTCTTGTTGTTGTTGTCGTGTTGACACCCGAGAAATCAAGGGCACTTGTTGACGTACGTGGTGTCCGTGAAAAATTTCCTGCTCTCGTTCCAAAGCTTGTCGTCGAGACCTCTGTCCTTGAACTCTTCGAACAGTTGATTCTTGGACCTGAAAAACGTGGAGTTGGCATTCCACTCCCGCTTATCCATTTCCTCGTTCTCGAACTCCACGTAGTGCCACAGCCTCAACATAATCCGGTCCATTTTTATTATGTCGACCATCTCCTTGACACTGAACTTCCCCTGCTCGGCCAACTTCTTGCTACTCATTTGAACCCACACGACGTTAAGGTTCAAGACGCCGTTCAACAACCTTTTCTTCTCGCGGTCCGTCAGGTCCACCAATTCCTTCCAGCAGTGGACATCCGGCTCAGGAACTTGGACGTAGAAAGTTTTCTCCTCCGCGCCTTTCTTTGGCTTCCCCCTGCCCTTTTTCAATGACGGGTCGTCCACCTTCAAGTACCAGACGTGTTTCTTCAGCCCCTGGCTGTCAGTCACAGTGGAGAGTCCTGGCTTGGCTACCTCCTCATGGGTGGGCGGCTTTTCAGTCCAACACCGGCCGTCGGAAGCAAGGAGTTTCCCTTTCGACCACTCCTCAAAGAACTTCAACCCCAAAGGGAAGACGGAGTCATCTGCCATGGCCAGCGGGAGGTAGTATCGAGGTTTCTCAGCCCATTCCTTTCTTTTCTTTGCTTTCGTTGACAGGTTCCAGATAGGCGTGTACGGTGTCTTCTTCATTGCCAACACCATGAACCGCACCCACTTCCGCACCTCGTCCTGTTTCTTCGATGCATTGCCGAGCACCACACGCGGTTTGCCCTTAATTTTCCACATATTGCGAATGTCCCGCATAGACAAAGCCTGCAAGCGCGGTGGATTCTTGTTGTCTTTCATGTTGTCTTCGTAGCTGGCATGGGCGTAGCCGTCGAACTCGTCGTCAGGGAAGTAGATCGGTCTGAACGGCCATTTACAGAAGTTGTAGTAATCAAACATGGGATGGTCTTTCACCATCATCGCCGCCCTCGCGTTATGCTGTCCACACACAGGATAATACCAGTATYTCTCCGGGTGYGAGYTGTYGAAGTCARCAGGCAGCACGCKCRCAGCAGGCTCGCCGTTCTCTGGAGGCGCGACGATCGGAGCGAGAACGAAAATGGGCTTCGTGTATCTCATGTCTTTACGTTCGTAGCAGTCGATCATAGCCGACGCGATGGTATCAACGAGGAACTCGTCCAAGGATCGGTAGGTGTACGCGTCTTCCCAGTCTGGAATAGCTAATGTTCTTTCGGGATGGATGTGCAACACGACGTCCTTCTGCACCCCTGTCTGCATCTCGAGGAAGAACGCATTGTCGAGGTTAAAGGCGTTGAGGTTAATCTCCACGTCGTCATCCCCCTTCCCGTTGTCGCCCTCGTCAGCTTTCTTCCCCCTCGATGATTTCCTCCGTTTCCCGGAAGACTCACCGGCTCTTCGCCGTGTYGACGAGTCTTTTGGCGTTTCATYCCCACCTCCMACCCTTTTCCTCTTCTCAACGGAACCGCCCTCTCGTGTTGTTGGCGTCCGAGCACTCCCTCCTAACTTTCTCTGCCTTTTCAGAGCACCTAGTCCCTCTCGCTCTTCCTTATCCGGCAAGCTGCGTTTGCCTCCCGACAGAGTCTTTTCAGCCGATCTCTCACGGAACAGCCCCTGCTCGGACACCTCCTCCKCACCGGCGACATTCCCATTTGCTTCTCGTTCCTGGCTCAACTCCGTCTGCAGTTGCGCCGGCAAAGGTCGGGCCCGGCGAGTCGTCTCATCTGACCCACGCACCTCTCGAACCTGCAGACCACCCGCGCGATCTCTAGGCGAAACCTCGGCCACCTGCATGCCACGAACGAACGAACCAATCCTTTCGACCAGACCACGAGGAGTCGTCGATTCTGAGCCCTGTCGCAACCGTTCGCCATCGCCGCCTCCATGTGGCGTCGACTCCCCAAGCAAACCTTGGCGGCGAGATACATGCAAGCCCAGTTTCAAAGGAGCACGCGGATGGTCGTCCTCCGAGTCGTCTGACATGCCCACCTCTTGATCAGGAGGCGTAGCTGGCAGGCCACCCTGACCTCCCATCCCCCTTTCAAAGCACTCTCCTCCCGTGAACCCAACAGGACCACTGATCAATGTTCCAGGTCCGACATCCACGGCACTGACAGAGGTACCAGATCTCGCCCAGACCTCGAGGAAGCCTGTGATGTGAACGGCCTCGTCGTGCCCCGGCGCCAGCGGGACAAAGTGAGGCAAAGCCATCGCACGACGACCGTACCCGCCGAACATCCTCCCGGCAACCTTGCATCCCTTTGTGATGCCGTGGACGGAACCATTACTTTTGTAATGCTTCTTCAACGTAAACTTGAAATTGTATCCGCCATCGTCGACCCACGGGACGATGGACCCTGCGAGACGCGTTCTGTCGGCGCGAACGACGACGAACAAGAGCGGCCCGCACGGTGGTTGCAACGGGTCGGAGCCGTCCTGGCTCGCCCAGTCCAAATACCAGACACGTTTCCTGTAGTCGCACCACAAGTTTTGAGCACGTCGTTCTTCCTCCTCACCTCCACCTCCCCAACTCGTTTCCCTTGCCGGCGACGACGTCGTCCCTCAACGCTCCTCTCCATGCGGGGCGGAGCCACCAGCGGAGCGGCCTCGTCCGTGCGAAGCCATTCCTTGAAACACACGGATGAAATGAACCCACATGTACTCAGAACAGTCAGCACGTCCCAACATCAACCACCATCCACAGCACGTATTCTGTTATCGGTCACCCGGACCCCAAAAGAACGAAGTTAAGTCATAGTTCAGACGACAGTGGTCCACAAGCCTGCACGTTGCAGATGAATCCGAGGCATCCTGAGCCATCCTCGTCACACTGCCCTTAAGAGAATGAATGGTCGAAAACGAAGACCGCGGGATAGATCGGATACATCCGAAGCAGACGCAGTCGAAAAACCGATGTCGCATAGGCATCTGCACCGGGAAAAGCAACACCTCGCACGAAGGCCCTAGAACGCTGATACGGCAGACGAAGATGAATACGTTGTCATCCGAAGTCGACAAGTGGATTGTAAAGTCCGCCGTTGTAGTTCGGATGAATCCGAGCTCCAAAGCGGTGTGGACCACCCCCTTTCGGCCCGGACGAAACCGAACTCGAGTTTTCTTGTCCTTCTGAGTCGGTAACGGTTGTGACTCGGATGCATCCGAATTCGAACAGCGCGGTCCAGAGACGGTCGTCCACAAGAGGTCATCTACAGCATGTGTTTTCGTCATCGACCTGTGAGCACTGGGTTAACCCTATCCTGCCGGAGGTTCGGTTCGGTTGAACCATAGGAGGCCGCAAGGCCGGGGCCTATTACGACACTTGCTCGACTAGAAACTTTATGAGCCGCGCGTGCGTTGAGAGGCTGCGCTTACAGGGGCAAGTGCAGCGCCTGAGTCGACCTGTGGAGTCGACCTGTGCCAACAAACARCRTATGGTAGTTAATGACTACCTCCATGATGTAGAGTGTGTTTTCCCGTACGCAGGTAGGGGACAGAGTCTGGGTCAATCTTCAGAACTGGGACAGGAGTTCGAGATATCCCGCAAACTCATGCCTCAGTACTTTGGACCTTGGGAAGTTTTAGACGTAGTAGGGACAGATCCTGATGGTCCRTCATATGTCATCYGTATCCCTGGTCATCTCAGAACTTACCCAGTCTTTCACACCTCTAAGCTCGCTGCATTCGAGGAAACTGATCAGTTTCCCTCTCGTCGATCCATGCTGCCCGCAACCATGGATGGAGAAGTCGACATCGATGATATCGTTGACCACAGGGAGATGCCTGTTCAAAAGCCTCCAGGAAGGGGACGTCCTCCAAAGCCAAAGCTGCAGTTCCGAGTCCACTTCAGACATCATACAGATCCGAAGGAGGACCGCTGGTTTACTCGGGAGGAACTGATGCAGACCGCTCCTCAAATCGCTGTCCGCTATGAGAAGGATGTACTGAAAGGAAAGCGCCAGATGGCTACAGATTGATCTTCGAAGAGGACTAACGAAGATATGGAGGGAATGCGAGGCTACGCCCGCTTAGCCCCTACGGGGCCCTATCTGCAACAAGGTCGGCCGCCCTAAGTGAAGGCAGGTACGACAGGCCCTTCGGGCCTCATTCTTCAGGGTACCCCGCAACGGGGAAATTCAGACAGATGCGTTGCGCCAGTTGGTTGAATGAATCCAGGCCCTGGGCCGCCTGTGTAAATGAATGTGAAGCAGGCCCTGGGCTGGATACGGGTACCGGGCCAAACACAGGCCGAAAGCAGTTGGGCGCATGCAACCACTTCAGGCCCAAGGCCTGCTCYCTTYGTGACTGRGCCYGTGCCTACCGGGGCCTACCGGAAGCTTCCTGGACTGGTCGCAGGCAGGCCACTTCGATATAGGGAAGGGCCTGCCTCCTCATTCGGCATTCGGGTGCTGGSTGCATGCTGCGTGAGCGCTGCTGCGCAATCCGCTGGCTGGCTGGCACTCACGCTCTCACGGGCGAGTAGGAGGGAGCACGCAGCCATAGCCAAGTTGCGTTGCTGTATGCTAGGCGAAGCGCAGTGTGGTCCTTGGGGTGCTAGTGGCATGTGTGCGGTGTGGATCGGGGTTGTGAGTGTTACGAGAGACTTACCTGGTGCTGAAGCGTGCGACATTGGTCGCCATATGCTCGTACTTCGGGAACGCTGTTGATGTCATCATTCTGCTTTGTAGTATAGGTTAGATAGGATCTGCCACCTGTAGTCTGGGCGCCGAGCGCCAATAGGATATCAACTCTGGTTCGTAGTTGATGATGATGGGACTACTTCAGCATTGTCAATTTTGAACTCTTGGTGTGTTCTTATTTGGTGTATCTCGTGATGCCAGTCTGCTGTGGTTCGAGGTCAAGACTATCTGGGCTCATATGTATAATGCTGTTTGATTGCTGAAGTTCGCTAATGCTCATCTTCCTTGCTGATGTGTCAGTGCAGCGGTCCAGATTTGGCCATTCTGCTATTAGAACCCAGTGTCCCAAGGCCTGCACCAAAGCTGGGTAATGGTCCCCGGTGTTTTTTTTTTCCCCTTCCCCGGGCTGTTTGTGGTGGAGGATTTCCCAGCCTCCTTTTTTTTTTTTTTTTTTTTTTTTTGAAGGAATAAACTTTYTTTAGCAAATGTGAAMAGGAGGCCAGGAATCCTCACAAACAACCCGGAAATGAAACTGGGGCCATTACCCAGCTTGGGCATGTGCTGGAAACCGGGTCCAGCGTCCCTGGTCAGAAATAATCTTCCTCCAAAAAAACGGTGAAAGCACAGAAAAAGGTGACCAAATGCAATTAAGACACTCTATAATATCAGCCTGGCCACCAAATCCCCGGGTTTTCTCCTGGGTAATCAATGCTGGTGGAATTGAGAGTCACTCAAATGCTGAGGGAGGAACTAGTTGTTTAGAAGCAGATATCTCGCGCCTGGTATTGGGGCGAAGAGGTCTCCTCCCCTCCCCTCCCATAATCACCTGCACAGTCCATCCTCTGGAAGCCAGAGTAATCAATGCTGGCAGGTTTTATACAACTTTTGGTATTCATCCTGAACTCTTTCTGTCTTCGTTCTGTAAACAGTGTAATGGGACGCTGGACCCGTTTTCCAGCAGGTGATGCTCCCCACCAATAGATTGAGCCTCTCCCCGGGTGCTAGTGGTGTCTGATCTCGTCAGCAACACTAGCACTGCAGGGGGGGGGGGTTGCCAAAAAAAAAAAAAAAAAAAAAAAAAAAAAAGCCTGGCCACCAAGCTACTCAGACATTCACCCAACGGGAACTGGGCCACGGGCCGAGACGGGAAAGCAGACCCCTATAAACTAAACGTGATTACATCAGGCCCTATGTCTAGCCGGAGTCCAGCGCACTCGCTGCCTCTCACCCTAATAACCACGGGCCTAAAGATAAACCGCCCTCACTGGTGACTTTGGCCAATGTGTTCCCTCTCGCCCAAGTTTTACGGAACCACTTGGTCCCATTCCCTTTGGCTTTTTGACAGCTAAACCAGTCTGCCCGAATAGCTCGACGAATGTTCTCCTTCACCTGAAAAATCTGTTGATGAAAGACTGTGTCTTCCTCACGAAAAACCTTTAAGTTAGTGTTCCTGGCTGACCAGATTGTATCCATAATCACCCCACGACACACCTGGCAGGGCTACATAATAACCCCAACCCCCCGAGAAGCTCATGGGCCTCGTTGTGGCACGGTGACCGTAAAGAATCCAGTCGTCCGACCATATGAAGTCCTGGTCTGCTATCTTCTTCCAATGAGAGCACCACCAATCCCACTGCTGGTCTGCCCAAGGGGCACAACAGACATAGATGTTTGGCAGACTCCCATGATCCCCAACCGCGCCTTCTGCACGTATCAGAAATTTCTGATCCTTCAGCTATCAACCACGTAGCAGTCGGCATCACCTGCAATGATTGATCCTTGGGGTAACTTCGGCGCAGTCACGAAAACAGTTTGTAATTGCATTCGAAACTGCGTTTTAGCAGTTTTTTTAGTCAGGGCCCGAGTTTCAATTGCAGTTGAAACTCGGGCTGCCTTTCCGTAGTAGTTCAGTCAGGGCCCTCGTCTATCCACGAACAGCAGATGAAAAAAAAAAAAAAAAAAAACATCCCGCATGCTGTGATTGCGCACCGATACAGGATGCTAGAGTACTTGTCTGGAACTCAATGAAGCGTGGAATCCGCCCTGCCTGGCTGGCAGGGCGCTACAGGAACCTCACAACAAAAAACAAAAAAGGAAAACGACCTGTTTCATGTTCCTCACTTCCTGGCCAGATACATTTGTCAAAGCACTAGTGACGTGACGGATGTAGGTGGATTTGAAGTTCCTCGCCTTGACCTGGGGGGGGGGGGGCAAAAAGCTCCAATCTATGACCTGCAGGATGCCTTTAGTTATCCATGAAAGCCCGAAGGAGCCAGGAGCTCCATCCGCAGAAAACTCGTTATCGAAGAGCAGCTGGGTACCCGCCCTTCTATTTAGGACGTTGGTTCCTTCAGAGTTTGTGGTCTGAGTTTATTCAACGTGGAAAACTCGGGGCTATAATTTAATGCATCTGACAACAATTATGGCCCACTCTCGAGGCTATAAGGGCATACTCATGCCAGTGCTTTCCCAAAATTTAATGCATCAAGCTCCAGTCAATTTGTGTGGAGCAACCCGTGCTGGGAACCGGGCCCAGCGTCCCATGTGGAATCATATGAAAAACAAATTGAAATACGGGGGCCATTACCTGGCCTCGGCTAAGAATATCCCTTTTTTGAGAGAAAACCCATGCCAGCACTTTCCTAAAATTTAATGCAGCTGACAGCAATTATGGCCCGCTCTGGAGGCTCCAAGGGCATACTCATGCTAGCACTTTCCTCAATGCATCTGACTGCAATTACGGCCAGAAGATTCCTTGTTTCCATTTCGTCACTCTCCGACAACTCTCCTCCCTCTTCTGGCATATGGCGATGAACAGTTGTTGGCTGCTATGCAACGACAATATTGGCCATTAGGCACCACCATGTGGGGTTGAAGGGGGGTAGGGGGAGGTGCAGTGACTGGCCATTGCTCGGCGCTAGCACCGCTGATTTCCCCATCGGCAATGCCTGCCCACCCCTCGTCACCATGATGAGGGACTGGTACAGCCTTGCTCTCGCACCGCAGCTGTGGTGCAAACCTACCCCATGGGCTGGGGAGAGATCCCGGTTGGTTGGTGTTCCCCCATACT